AGTGAGCACACTTGGCACCCAGCATACTAACCATCGACTTGAGTCAAATAACAGCTAAGCAACACATTTTTATATACAATTCCCTGGTCCATGCAAGATGAAGAAACTGAATTTTACACTTTTACAGGGAAAATATTAGTTTTCCAGCAAATCTCTATCTATGGCTAATCACTCTACTTTTACTTACACCATGAATTGCATTTCTGTATTACGTTTATTTTAAAATCTAAACCAAACAAGAATCCAATTACAACTTTGAACTAAGCATTCAGCAGAGGCATTGTTTATTACTGGCCTGTAATTCTGAATCAGATTGACTTGTCCCATGGATTTTCTCCATACCTGCCCAAAGTTGCATTTTAGTATAGGAGAGATCCACATTTCTAGAGCATTTTCCGTAAGAAAATTTTCCATAGAAAGTTTTCCATAAGAAAGAGTCATAGAGTGAGTTGCCTGAAGGATAAAAAGGAAGTATTTTAAGACAACTCAGAAAAGCGTGACACCCCTGTCATTGTGATGTCCTCTATCTCAGACTTGTGATGCCTCTTCCAGAACATTTACCTGAAAAATTACAGTATTGATAGAGTACATTTACATTTCTAGCAAAGGCATGCTTGTTCACCAAAGAGTTCCAGCATACTAACATTTAGTAAATTCACCTTAAAAACACCTTCAAGTAGTAAATAGTTACATCAAGTATAAGCTTGCATACAAAATCATTTTTAAATTACAAGTAAGTCTATTTACCTTGCTTCAAGTGTTAGATTTACTTCCCCAAAAGCCAGAGAGCACACTGTGCAAATACCTGAATACCAGAATACCAGAGTTGGCTGGCCAAGAAACACTCTGGACATGATCACACCACCACTAGGTATGCTCACTTCATCTGTATTTATTGAAAAATATTTACATATTGATCACTATGCTATTAGCTGCTTCAGCAGCATCTTTACATTGAAGAGGTAATGAAGAACATCACACTAGAATGGGGTAAGAGTGGGAAAATGTCTTCTCAAATGTCTTTTTTTCCTTCCTCAGGGTGTCACCAGCAGAGAAAGTTCTCAGACCGAGTGTGCTGGAGTCCCACAGTGTGTGCGCCACAGATCAACAGCTTTGCTGACAATAGCATCAGTGTTATCTTGAGGAATCTACAAAAAAGATCAGGGCAAGAGGCCTTGTCAGAGTACTTTATTTGGACTGGTTTGTTTCAAATAAAGACTTCAATTTTCCAGTTCAGATTTTATCTCCTTATAAAAAAGAAAACAAACCTAGAACCACATCTCCCTGCCCTGCCCTACCATCCCATCATCCCTCAGTCCTACACACACCATATTACCTCCGGGTTTTAGACGCAAAGCTTTTATTTACAAAATGGTAAGATGACCCCCCAGGCATCTCCCACTTCACATATCAGAATTCATACCGGCCAGCCATAAGGACAAATGTATCTAATAGAAAACTCACTCAGGTTACACTGGGGTCCTAGAACCCTGCTGCGATGCTCTGCACTATTCATAGAAGGAAAGCTCAGGGTCAGGTTCATGATCCCATCCTTGCACCAGCAGAAAACTTACCTTGAGTCTATGGATTCACACTCAAGACAAGGAGCAAAAAAGGTGCCAAAACCCAACCCTGTAAGGAGTTTCCAGAAAAATTAACCTAACCTCACCTGCACTTGCTCTCATAGAAAAATCCTTTAGTACCACAAGGAATACTGTCAAATCTGTACAAATACAGGTAACACATTCCCCAAAGCCTGAAAATCCTTTCATTCTATGAAAGCCTTACCCCCAATAAAAAAGACGTATTAGTCTCATTCCTGCACATTCTCTTTTCCCTTTGGTACTACTACACTGTTCTCAGTAAGTAATGTAATAGTAACTTATGGTATGTTTGCAACAGGCAAATCACTTCAAGGCTGAAACACATTTTTAAAAACCATAAAAGGTCGTGCAAAGCACAACAGAGTACTTACATTTTCCAAAAACTGTGTGATCTTTTCTGCAGTATTCAGTGCTATTATCTTCATTTTAAAGGTTAATAATATCTCTATAGCAACAAAAACGAGAATCTTGCAGGACCCACTAATAACTTTGTCCCAAACCCTAAAAAAAAAATCCATTAAACATTATTGCAGTTCTTTTCTGCCTATTTATCTGCTTGGACAGTCTTCATACAATCACCCTTTTCCAGATTATTTTTTTGAGTAACAACAATGTACTGAATTACTCAGGTCAAGGTAAATAAAACACATTTTATCGACTCCTGAATCTGTACAGAGCAGAGGGATGGCAAGCAGTAAAGTATTGATACGGTGTGTTCTTGTTTAGAAATGGAACTGTTTACAAAAACAGAACAAGCAAATCTTGCTTTAATACCCTGAACTGTGACAACTATTCTACAGTGAATGGTAAAAGTGAGGATTTTTCCTTGTGCAGAAAAGGAAACTGATTTTATTGGCACATGTAATAAAGACATTCTTCAAACAGTTAAGTAGCTGAAAAGGTAAAAGGATCTAATACTGAACTACTACATCTCAAGCTAAGTACTCCAGGTCATTGCTGTATGAGATACAAATACGATATATCGCAGGATATAATCCATGATGTTTCAATTAGACACAAGGAATAACTATTAAATCTTTCCATCCATCCCACTGCGAACAGACTCTCTCAGAATTGCTTAAGCACTCCTCTCCACTCGTATGGAACTGTACCTGGACTTCACAATTTTAACAAAATCTGAAGGGCAGGCCTCCGAAGGCTGCAAGTACTTAAGCAAAGGAACTTAGATGAATATTAAAAGGAATTCACACCACTAAAACAGCCTGCAGCACTTTGAAATCATCCTTCAGCCAGCAGCTCTGTCGCAGGCCCAACTCAACAGACCCAGGATGAAAGATTATCCAAAACCAGTGTGAAACCATCTGTCAGATGGCAGCAGCTTTCACGGGCTTGCATTATTTTTAGTTCTTGAATTTTAAGAGTTGTGTCAGAAAGACTTTCTGAGGATTACTGCTCTTGCTCCTTCTGGGCACCTGTGAAAAGTGTTGCTCTTTCCAAATAAAAACACAGGGGATAAAGATCACACACTACCCTCAACCATTTCCGAATACAGTAACACTAACTGGAAAACATCTTCTGCAGCCCACCTGTAAACTTGGGTCTATGGGTGTGCTTCTTCCAAAGACAACTCAATTTTTGTATGACCCAATTTTTCAATGTATGTAAATATCTGAAAGAAGGGTGCAAAGAGGATGGAGCCAGGTTCAGCTGTGCCCAGAGACAGGAGCAGTGGCAAGGGGCACGAACTGAAACACAAGAGGTTCTCTCTGAACATCAGGAAATACTCTTTCACTGTGAGGGTGACAGAGCACTGGCATGCTGCCAGGGAGGTTGTGGAGTCTTCCTCTTTGGAGATACTCCAAAGCCGTCTGGACAAGGTCCTGCACAGCAGCTGTAGGTGGCCCTGCTTGAGCAGAGGGACTGGTTGGACCAGGTGACCTCCAGAGGACCCTTCCACCCTCAACCTTTCTGTGATTCTTTGTGAAAAGCTTTTGTAACTCCTGATGTGCAATGGTTGCTGCTGTTACACAGTGCTTATTTTTCACACTATGACTCAAGTCAATTCCCTGTCAGTTTCTTAACCATCTATTCACATAACTTTTGACACTACTTTCACAACCTCTCCATTCATCGAAATAAATAAGACTAGAATTTAACTTATTATGAAGAAATGAGGAAAAGAATATGTAAAATCCTCAGGACTATTCTTACAAAAGGAGGAAACAAACAAAAAAACCCACATGGACAGATGGGAAAAAAGGCACTGTCAATTCTTTCCCCTTCGCAATTTAGTTTTGATTCCTTGTCTCGCTATGATTAAAGATGAATATAATTCCCATATGGGTAGGAACAATAAATAATCCAAGCTGAAAATCTTAATGCTTCCTTTGTGGTTCAAGCATCCCAGGACAAGCGGTCACTGTAAATATCACACTTATGTTGAAGTCGGGTCTAGAAGCTTTAAGCAAGGCTTTAAGAAAACTGAGACCACATTCCTGTTCGGCACTGTGCTGCTCATCCCTGTTCACTCCCAATATATTCTCCTTCACAAAGGTATCTCTTTAGAACCCAAGAACAGCTCCCCGTGTGTTTCATGGGCATCAGATCTGTCATCATGAATGGCAATACAGAGAGCAGCGGACTTCAAAATGGGAAAGAATTTTAGGCTTTTTAAAATAAAGTTCAAATTAAAGCTCCTATTAATTCGAACACAAACTTACTAATCAAAATATAAAACATCCAGCCTTCTTTCATTATTTTGCTTCCAAGTCTCCTGACTTCAGTCTCCATAATTACATTACAGTAGGTTACATTTCACGCTCAGAAAACACTCCAATGGTTTCCTGCATCATTTAGAACAAATGCTTTAACAATGGCAGAACAGATGCAGTACAAAAATCACTAGTGCCTAACAAATTTTGGGAGAGGGTGCATAGCAAAGTGGATGAGATGTCAGCACCAACCAGCTGTGTCTGCTGCAGTATTTTTCCCCATAACATTTCCAGCAACAGCAAGAGGGGAGTGACTGTGTGCCACCGTGGTAAACAGACCAGCAGTCAGCACCTCGGCTCGACCAGCAGAGCCAGGAATAGCAACATAAACTGTGTCAGAAAAACGTTTGCTCAGAATGGGAAAAAAAACCCACAGCAGTTTCAAGGAAACACATATTTTGATGATCCTATTCTATTATAGCAGTCTTATGCATTGTATCTCTACTGATGATAACATCAGTATTCTACTTTCACTTTTTAAATTACAGCAAACACTTAAGATCAAGAGTACTGTCAGAGACTGCAACTCTTTTACCCATTTTTTGATACTGCTAGAGATGGGAAAACTCTAACAGAAATGTCATGCAACTGTGCCTATAGCCCTACTCAGAAATGCTAAAAATTAAGGTATACACTGAATTCATTATGGTTTTTTGTGACTATCATCCTCTGTGAAATACAACCACGAGAGCACTCTTGTAGGTGTTTCTTGAATGGTGAAATAGTAGTAACCACAAGGAAAAAAAATAAACAGGAAGCTATGAATGTAAAGAGCATGCCAAGGACTACGCAAATGAAGCCATTTACTTTTCACTGAGCTTCTTCTGTAGACAAGATACGATGACTCTGTGTGTGTGCATGTGTGAAGGCATGGCATGCCTAGGGCAGTTTTTCAGGTTCCTCAACCCCTACAGTGCAGTAGCATACAAAAAGCATCCCAGCATCGCTGCTCTCTCTTTTTCTGAAATACTATCATTAATCTCGCAGCTTTTCCCCCTAGGCTGCAGGGTAAGCATGCTCAAGCTTATTCCTTGGCTCTGTCCTCCAGTCACCCTGGCCAGAGATGTTTAAAGAGAACCAACGCTTGCTCCTCTGCCTGCACTTCTGGGTGTTCCTCCAATGGTAAACTGGGTATGGAAGGACACGACGACACCCACACAAGTCTCATCCTGATGTCATGATGTGACCTTGTGTCCATCTGTTTCCAGAGCTGGGAAGCAGCTCAATTATTTAGAAAAAGGCAACCCTATTTAAGTTTCTCTGCAGTAGCAGCCCACACGCACATCCTTATGTCCTCCAACTCCATAGTAAATTTAAAGCATTTTTCATATTTGTGTTGTTTCTACTAACAAATTACTTATGTTTTTACCACTAGATACAATTTATGCAGGACATGGAGCTCGCAGATGTAAAACTACAGAAGCCATGTATTAATACATAAGGTAGTGCCAGTTTGAAAGGCAGTCAGAAGATTTCAGGAGAATCACCAAATACTTTGCCACGAACAAGTTACCAGGGGCCAACCACCTACCACCACCCCATCAGTTGTTACAGCCCTGCTAGTGCCAAGTCTTCAGTGCAGAACACAAACTATGTCAGTCCGGGGCACGATACGTGACTGGCAACATTAGGCCATAAAAAATGCCTGACTCATTCACAATTATATCTGCAAAGCTGCACTACTTCTGTTGTAGCTGGATTGCCTGGGGTGACAGTGTCAGGATAAACTGGCAGCCAAAATGCCATTTTGCCTGTCAAGCTGAAGCCACAACTGGGACACCGTGCTTCAACAGCACGGCTCTCCAGCTGAGGGCCCACACAGCACCATCTGAAAGCTCTCCACGCATGGGGCTTACTGACCACTGCTGCAGAAATGGAGCAAGCAGGGCAACAGTGAGTATAAAAACAGAGGTGTGATCCAGCTCTCTCCCTGGTCAGAGACAAGTGTCTCTCTGGAGCCTGTGCCTCAGGCTGGTTCATGTTCCAGGAAGCCCCTGTCTGTATTCCAGGTGGGATACTGAGAATACTCTGCCTTGGAAACAGCCAGTCTGCTCCTCTCTTTTGCCAGTGTGGCACCTTTAAGAGCTTTGACTAGAAGACTGGGGCATAGTATGTCAAATGTATTAGGGCAAGCAAAGCCACTGCATAAGCTCAAAGGAAAAGTTTCCACATTAAAGCTGTCTATATAGATTTTCCAAATGCATTTAAACTAAACTGATGTATAATTTCTACCTATGGTATAAGTGTGCCGTAAGACAGTATTTATACTGCATGACAATGTCTGTCAGGAGTAAAGCTAGTATTATGCAAGCTAATTATTGGATAAAATTTCTGCACGGCACATAAAAATCTTGGACACTTTAGAGAAATAAAAGAAAAGTGAAATTTAGATTTAGTTGCCTGGTTGAGAAGACTACAACTTACAGAAGGCCAACAACCTCTCTAAGAAATATAGTACTGCTAAGTACTATTGAGCTCAGATCATCTCTCACTGGATAAAAAAGTAAGTAAAACTCCCCGGAGAATTGGAGACCTGTTTCCACCACTGCCATTTGGATGCATTTCAGATAAGCATTCAGACTTCTAGATTCTAATTCAAACTGCATCTCCATACGTTAAGCTCATCTGCCACATGCTACCCATGAAGTATGTTATTGCCTTAGCAAATGAGGCCATTATGTTTACAACTGAATAATTCAGAAACCTAAACCGGCAAGAAAAAGTGCACTTTTATCATGTTCCCATAAGAACTGTTAGAAAAAGGGATCACAGTGTCATCAGAAGTACCAACACTGAAATTTGTTTTTACTCCCGGATGATACAAAAAGCCAATATTTAGACCTTTTCCATTAAAAAAAAAAAGTATTTAAAAAATTTCAGGTCATCAAAATATTCTATTTCAGTAACAGTATAAGACAATGCTAAACAGTACAGTAACCAGATAAAATATTTTATATAAATGAACTGATTCAAAATGGTAGAAGTTTGAAACTAAAGATTCTGACAAGGTGAAACATGGAAATCAAAATTCACCATCAGCCTACAGAAAGGCCCAAAGAGACTGGCAAGTCCCAGGTAGAGCACTCACTTCCACTGCCAAACTGCATTAAGGTCAATAAATGAGGTCAGTCATGATCTGCTGACAGTAACCTACAAATGCCAATGTGAAATAGAGATGCAGGCAAACCATACATGTTCAATTGTTTATAAAGATGTAAAAAACACTTTATACATGCTTACATGATTTCTGTAGCCATAAAAGTAGTAAAAGCTTTTAAGCACCACATCATGCACAACCACTACACACAGATTACTGTTTTGGAGCCTTATGGGTGCTGTATGAGAAGAATGTAGCAATGCAGCAATTACCATGCTGAACACAGCGTAACACCCAAAGATCTACCACCAAAATACTGCCATTTTGGTTCAAAAAATTGGTTTCTCAGACATATTCCTTGCCAACAATAGAACATACACAACCTCAAAGACCACTGTATCACAAGGTTGCAGAGCATGATTTCTAATCTTATAGCCTGTTTCCTAAAACTTCCTTGTTTTCCTAAGAGGAAATAAAACATTTTTAAAAACAGCTGTTCCCCACTTTTCTTCATGAAATGTGAAGTCCCAAGAAGCAAGACTGCATTCACTATTCAGATTATGGCTACCTTTACTACTGTAAAGCATTTCCTACAGAGCTGTCTGTTCAGCTTCCACGCTAGGTTCCTATACTAGCCACTGAAATCCTGGAGGTGCTGGAGTAAAACTTCTCCTGAATCTCGCTACTTCTCCAAGTTTTTGATGGCTGAAAACAAAACCATTGTTTTCTTCGTGCCATCTCCTATTCAGCTATTAGCAACTCTTGTTAACGCAGAAAGGATACGCTTCTCTATACTAGCTTGAATTGTCCACTTTCCAGGAGTTCTCAGCCAGCAGAATTAGAGAAGTCACATACCAAAAGCCCTTTAGTGGGCTTCATACCAAAGGCCCTTTAGTGAAGTGCCATGTGCAAGAAGTTTCCCTTTTTAAAAGCTGGACAGCCTAGTTCCAGCTGTAGAATCCTGATATAATGCACTATTTCATTGGCTTTGTAATACTCAACCTTCCCTAGTACTTTTAAAAATCTTTTTCATCTAATGACAATCCAGTATTACAATCACTCCCTAAGCAAGGATGTCGGTTAAAAAGCCTGAAAACTGACTACTATTCAGCCATCTATCTCTAATAAGGGATTTGGAGTTTAAATTCCTAGGAGGCATTAAGTGTCTAGCAGAATCAGCCACTATATTTAACTCCATCCTTCTTTTAATTTCAACGCGGAAAATGATCACACAGAGATTATCTTGTGATAACGAGCGGAATTAAACGCAATTTTATCATTTCCAAATCAACAATAAAGTTAACTCCATAATCTTACAGATAAAGTAAGGAAGGCTCTTTGCCTGCTAGTGATAACAAAAATTACTATGTAACTACAAACGGAAAGAAAAAAGAGAACTTGCCTCTGTAAACTGGACTCAGGTAAACAGCCTGCAAAACACTTCTTAAACCAAAGATCATAAGGGAGCTTGCTCATTGCAGCACATGCTTTCAGATGCATCAGGAGTCTGTTATCTTCAATGTTCAAATACTGCTCCAAAATTTTTGGCTGAGAAAGGAATTGGAAAATTTTAGATAACTCACATCAGAGAACCCTCCATAGTTAACGCACACAGTAGGACAAGAAGTGTCTTAAAAATCTTAAAAATTTAAATAAAATAGCATGTTAAAATAATTAACTTGCATTATTTTAATTAAAACCATGATGTTCCAAAATGCAAGTGTTGCTGATTTTTGGAACTAGCTAATTAAGTACTTTATTAAACAAACAACCCCAGGTTCCTTAAATTGCTGACCACTGGCAGAACTTCCAAAATGAGCAGTATTCCCTAATGTAAGGGGGTGTTTGAGAGCGTAAGGCAAAGCAGAGATTAAACCTGCACTAATTACTGCTACCTTCACAAGTAAAATTGAGTTTCATTCACTTCAAACCTAATCGCCTCAGCACATGTCAAAAAAACCCAACAAACTACACACAGCGCAGCAAACCCCAGAAAATCAATTCTGAGTAAATCTCTGTGCAATATATTAAAAGCTGGCCATTGATTTCGTGTTTAAAAGTCAAAAATAATTAGAAAGGGCAAGAGAACAGCCTAAGATAGAGCTGAAAAATGAATAGTTCCCATTTTGTTTGAATTCTAACATAACACAACACACATTTTCATAAATTCGGGAATGCCTTTATGTTTTTTGCCATAATTAGGTGAAGAGCTAATGACTTCATCTGGCAAAGGACAAAACCCACTTCCGTTGTCCATACTGTAACATCCAGAGTCTTGATAAAACGTCCGTATTAAAGCAAAAAATTAAGGAGCGAGGCTCTTGGCACTCCCTAAGTAATGAGAGCACATACTTTCCTTAAAAACGCTCCTCTGTCCTTCAGAAGGAATTCCAGAAATTGGCACTATTTAACCTATCACTTCCAGCAACAGGAGGTAGGTTTAAAAAGTATTTCTTAGTTCCAAAAGAATAACAAAGGACATGCATAATTTTCTGCAACAAACTTTCAGTGATTGCTTGTGCACACGTACTCAAGATACCTTCATCTCAGTGGATATGGTTAACCAAAAGGTGACTATTTGAAGAATTATAATAGCTTTTGTATAATGAAGCAAGTGTTCATAAATAGGCATTTTCTTTACAATCAAGATTTTAATTTTATAAACCAGTAAGACAGAAATTCAAAACATTGAGCACTTAAATGATCAGTGCCAAAAGAATTCTATTCCACTCTTTATTACAACTTAATTTGCAACATACTGCTTTTCTGAAGACGTAGTACCCTGCTCCATCTGTAAAGCAAAACAACTCTGCTTTGCCTGTCATCCAATGAACAACAGATGGATGCCAGAGATGTAGCCTAAAAAGCAGCAGACATACATCAAGATGTTTTTAACTTTGTAACATCTTTGTTTAAACTAAAGAAAATTCTAAAGTGACCAGGTTGTGAGAAATGTAATTCACCTAGATACAATGTAAGCTTTAGGTAACCCAAAAAGAAAGTAAGATGTAGTCAAAAACTACCATGTAGCAAACAAAAACAATTTCTAATGTTATGTTGGACAAAGTACTACAGGACAGCACAACCACAACACAAAAAGCACTCTTCCCCTTTTCTGAAAAAACAGTTGGTGGAACAGAACCCAGCGATGTCATCTCTGATGCTCCAGTTGCCTCTACCTATTAATGCTTTCCATGTTCCAACCCTCACCAGTTGTTGTAATGCATCTTTGTGCTTGCTGTTCAGCTGATTCACAAAGCAACTGACAAGCCAATAGCATTCTATAGGATCCTCCACCATTTCCTCCATCGCTTTAGCAATAGCAAGAAACACTTCATCTTCAGGTTCCTGGAAAACAAAGCCAAAAAAGTGAACTACACAGAAGTATGACTATCTGATGTAAATTATTCTTATATTCCTTTTCCCTGCTATTTGGGAAAACAAATTAGACTCACATATACAAAGAGCTGTTCCGACAGTCTTAAATAAAATATCAGACAGCAGCTGCATTATGGTGACAGATACCTATTAAAGCAGAACAAATAAGACTTGTCTTGCTTTTAAAACCAAAACACACAACAGGAGTTTGGAACAACTCTGATTCAAAGTGCTCAAATGTTCTTGAATGAGACAGTATTACATTCTTATGTGGTAGTGATAATCCTACTTCTATGCCCCACATTTTAATACTGCATAGCAGCAGAATGTTTCATCCTACTCCTTGCTAAAGGCCAAACAGACCCCTCCATCACCTTTGTCATGGATGTTGCAGCTACTGAAAAAATAATGCCACCATGAGCTGCATGCCTACCTTCAACATAGAGAAAATACTTTGGTTTGAGATAAACATCTTCATAGAGACAAATAAATATCTTTTCCAGGTGACAAGTATCTTATTCCCTGCATGACCAGAAGCATGTAACAGGCACGCCACAATCTCTTCTCCTGGGATATACTTTCCTAACAGAAGTACCAGCATGCCTAAACTCCAGTTAGTGGTATGACCACACACAGGGTAGACGGAGGAAAACCAAAGCTAAACCAGATAGACCTCAGGCCAACAGCTAGCTAAGGAACTGCCTAAACTGGGAAGATGCACAAGGCAAGGCTCTTTATCTAAGCAGTAACCTCTTACAAGTTTAAGGGGACAGTGACTGCACTGAAAACAGTGCACAAAAACCAGTGCATAAAAGCAGAACAAGCATCTCTGCAGCATAACAAGCATCTCTGCAGCATAACTAGCACAAGTTAAAGGACTAATAACCGTGAATCTCCTAAACTTAATTTCTATTAAATCCCATCACAGTAGTGACAGCAGCTAGGGCACTGGAATGCACTGACAAAACACTGGCTCAGAAAGTGATACTGCTCTAGAAGGGATGAATTTTCAGCCCACTGAGTCTCATGCCAAGATCAAGGCAATTTGTCTATAGGAAACTTGCAGGGTAGGATGGCCAAGCCCCTCAACAATGGTAAGGGCACAAAAACACTCCCTCCTCTGACAGGAAAACGCTGTGCAAAATCCTCCAGTCCAAAATATTACTGGATTTTCCATGTTCACTTTGTTTAACTTCTTTTTTTAAAATTTATTTTTAAAGTTTTTATGTCAAATTTGTTATTTTTCAACTGTAGTAACAAAAGTAAGCTGAGCTAGAGCGAACAGGGATAAATGAACAGTAAATACAGGATAAAATCCACTTCAGAAAATCCCATGGCTCCCTCCATCACCTCCTCTTTCACAGAAGCTTATATTAAGATCCTTACTATGCTTTTTATAATCAAACTATAGAATTATCATCAAAACAGACTCATTTACCTATATGTGAGTACACTGTAAACTACAGAGTACGTGTATTACCTGACAGAAGCCTGGATCAGTTCACACTAACAGAAAAAGGAGATCAGTCTTTATTGCAAAAGACTAGACCTTAAAATAAGTAATTTAAAAATACTATGTAATTTACTGCTCGTACTGGCTCTGAATTACCCTTGTTCCAGAACATTTAAGAACCACTGAGCTCTGATAAGATTATGTCATTTTTATTTCAGTGCTATAAAGAAACTGAAGTATACTAGAGTAAAAAAGGCTTGAAGTCTAGCAGGCAAAATACACAAAAGATTTTAAGGCACAAAATCTTACATAAGTACTTAGGGGAAGAATAGAGAAAAGCACTTTGACTAAAATCCCTTATTTTGTACTAGCAATTCTTTGTATTTCATCCACCTTACTTTGTCTGTCTATGCGTATTTGTGGGGCTGCTCGCAGTTCAGTTTCTCACAGGTTTGTAGTTTGACATTAAATAATATACGATATTTGAAATACTGTTAAAATGACAACTGACCAATGGAAAAGCCAAGTTTCGAGGCAATTTTCCTGATTCCAACTGATGTATCCGGAGGAAAACATCTACCTGTGGGGTAGAATCATTAATAAAACGAATGACACGAAGAGCATGGTGTATATCCCAGTACTGCTCCTTTCGGTACTTCATCACCAAAGCATGAGATTCATGGTGAGGAGGAATAATTCCTAAAAAAGAAAATAAATTAAATTAAAAAACAGGAAAAAAAAGCAACTGTAAGGAGGAAAAACAACACCCAAATTTCCTTTCCAAGAATTCTGCCTAAATTCAAATCCTACTACAATTCCAGCCTACAGAAATGTAGGACATGGCACTTCTCTTTGTTTATAAACTTGGTCAAAGAATACAGGGAGAAAATTCGACAAAACTAGGAGTCAGTGGACCAATAAAGCACTTCAGCTGTAGATTTATAAAAACTACTTTCATATGTTAACTTAGCAGAGGCAAAATCTATCCTCAGACTGTTGTATCTCAAGCTCTTCTACAAGATATCCAGCAAATGGATGCTAACGCTTTTGCACACCACATCAGTATGCTGATAACAAATACCATTGTTGGGATAGATGGAAAAGAATTTAATGGGTTTACTCTTCCTCTCCCAAAAGCTTTATTTTTAAATTGTGATTCTTATTTGTTACTTGTTCATGTCTACCTGTAGTTTTTCGAATAATACTAGTCGCATATTTGTGCCCAGCTTCCATTTATTCTGAAAACAAAGTGGATGCAGAGTGCTTTTTATATACATCAGCTGTTCATGTCCTCAAATTCTACACTTTGAGATGACCAGAGAATATATACATCCAATTAACCAATGCAAAGATACTGTACATTACAGTATTATTTAATTTACTTTTAGATCTCCGATGGGAAACTCTTCACTCACTGTATTATAGAGATTAATCCTCTCTAAACCAACATTCAGAAGCAAAATCATCACATAGGTGGAATCAGTTACAGAGTAAAACTTAAGACCACCCAAATATTTTGTGAGGTATAGGTTTATTTATTTTCTAAGCACAACACAATTTTTTTTTCTAGCTTCCTAGGGGGAAAAGCAAAAAAGCAAAAAAACAAGTATCCTAGTAGAGAGGTAGAGAAAATTAAACTGTTTACAATCTCCAGCAGAGATGCTCAACATTACACTCGATCCTTCCCCTCTCTCAAGGTTCAATTTTGACATGCACTGATGTTCACAACAAAACTGTAGAGGGTTTCAGCAGAAATAAGATCTTACACATACCAGAGCAATAAAATCCCACTTCCTTATCACTAGTGGAGCAGAATTTTTCCCATTGTAGAAACCCACGAGAACAAAGTATTCCTCAAAAATCAGTTCTGAAACAGACTACCTGCTGCTTTTATCTCTCATTTACAGAAAAAAACATTGCTGCCAAGTGTTAAACCATGAAATGGCTGAGTTTTAGTAACAAGCACAAGAGACAGAAAATTATCTTTTATTTTCCAGCTGCAATCCTGTCTGCATTTCAAAAGCTGAGACAAAGCAAGACACATTATGCTAAAACAGAGTCAGCATCATGATCTCATAGGTATATACTGCCAACTGCTTTCCTCAAACACCCAAGACTACCTTAGGCAGGCTGAAAACAAGCTTAACCACCACAGGGATGTCTATAAACCACCATGAGTCACACTTGAACAGGAAGTTATCAGAGACACTGCTGATGTACCATGTAACCTGGAACAGCATCGAGCCTCAGTATGTGTCTGAAATAATGCTGCTGACAGGACAGAATCCCTTTTGTTAAACTATTAACATTATTTAGAGCAGATGTAACACCTCCCACCAGAAATGGACTGGGCTGCTGTTCCCATCATTTAAGGGGAGATATTTTGCATTGCCATTCTGACTACCAGCTTTTCTAATGAGTGTTAACACTGAGATGCAACAGAAGAAAAGTCCTTGTACCTCTGTTCACCCAAGGGGTACAAAGAATGACAGAATGTGCACTTGAAATAAATCACCCCAGGTTTAAAATACAAAATCCTTTTAGAAACTGATGTAATTTTCAACATTGTTTAAAGACTGTTTAAAACTCAGCTAAAACTATCTAATACGTTATTTGAAACTCCACACACTGTAGTAGAACATGGAAACCAAGAAGGGAAACAGAAGACATTACATGAACATTGTTCAAGATCATGGCACAGCCTAAGATAAATTAATACTGCAAAACAGGTATTTTTTTTTAAAAGACTCAGTCTGAGCCACCATCTTTCTGGCTCTGAATCACAAAATCTTCCTAAGAGAGAGATACATGGAATCTGTAAACCATTTTCTGGAGAGTCAAAAGACAAAGAAAGTAGGATAGTTCGCAAACAGCAAAAGACAGCAGCTTCCAAGCCAACTTGCAGACTGATGCTGCTGGTCTCTCTGGTAAGAGAGCACAGCCCTGGTAACACAAGAGTCAGCATGGGAGCCACACTCAAGCTTTTCAAAAGTGGCACAAAGCTCCACCATCGACAGTACGGTAAAACACATTCCTCTGCCAAAGATTCAGCCAGACAATGTATCCTCATACTCAATCTGGCGGCGTTTCTTTACACATAGCGACCCAAAAGGAAACCCAACACACTTGGGTAACCCAACAGTTACTGCAAAGTCACCAGTACTTTTTAAACAGTCATCTGGCTAAGCACTTCTAAGAAAATAGAAACGGTTTATGTCTTTTGTGGTTTCTGGCGAATACAAGGCCAGAGGCAAATTATGGTAACTTCTTCAATGGCAAAATACAATTTAAAGCCAGAAGAAACCAAGATTTTATAGAACACAAAGCTTCTAATTAGAATAAATATCCATTCCATACCTTCTATTTAAAATAAACATCCATTCCATACCTTGTCCAATTTTCTTAAGTTTAATCACAGCTTTACTTCAACTTGATTGTCTCTTATTTTAGGAACAGAACTGAGAAACTTATCAGGTATCGATGACTTATTACAATCCATCTTTTGAATCCATTTTATAAATTTACTCAGATAGTGTTACAAAGTTAAATATAGAAATACACTCTTCTAGGTACACTTCATCAAAAGTTCTCAAAAACTACGCATGTAGTTTTGTTTTATGATTGCCATTGTGCATCTTAGGTACATACAAAAATGGGCTAAATGTGTATCAGTAGGTAAAGTAGCACAGAACAACCCATGTCATTAACATTCTAAAGAAAAAAAAATACACCTTCTTATGAACTCATTTCTACACAGGATCATAGATGTTATGTTTCATACCTAAAAGTACCTTCCACACCAGTATACGATACATGGATGGGAGAGGAAACCTTTGACTAAATGTGCAAAGCTTCTCAATATCTGTAGAGAAATAAAGAGAAAGAAAACCAAGGTAAAGCGAAATACAATTATCAATAGGTTTGAGTCTCTGATCTATCCAAGTATGACAAATCCTTAGCTGCAAATCAAAATCCCAATTTTCATCATGTATTATCAACAAATGCTTTCACAACTTCATTTGAGAATAAAATGTGCCCTATAAACTGCAACAATTTTGAAAAATATATAGCTTGGCTTGATTTACAGTAAAAATACCCTGGGTCTCACCAGGAAGAAACTGGCAACAGCAATAACAAAATCTTCATTGTTTTGAGCTTACATGGAATTAACAGCATGAAACTATATATTTTCAGATGAAAGTTGTTTTCATTAAAAACTTTTAATTTCTTTGGCACAGAGAAGGAAAGAATAAAAAAATAAGAAACAAGCAAGCAAACAAATCTTTAGTAGTTTTTAAAAATCGGGTTTTTGAATCTCTGAAACTCAAAGGACTATAATAACTGAGAGATCAGTGGTAAAAGATGCAAAAATTAAATACTTGAGTACTAAGCAAAGCAGCAGAACATTTTCTGTCATTCCCCTCTCAGCCCCAGATCACCAAAGTAATAGAGGAAACAGTGAAATCAACTTGCCCAAGCGGTCATCTTTTAACAGAATTTCCAGTGACTTCTTTTCTTCAACTCCACGAAACCCCACTTTTTCATAATACACCGAGCGAAAGTTTCTTTGAGAGTCGTCAGCCATGATTGATTCCTTTTGGAGAAACATTAATTCCTCGTAAGAGTTGCAAGAATACAGTCCTATTGCATTAAAGTCAATTACTTTTCCACACTGATAAAAGTTGATTGCCTTAGACACAGACAATAGAAGACAGACAATGATAACAACATATAACATAGACAATTATAAAAATAACTGGATCTAAACAACGTCTAAAGATATGCCATTTCAAAATTAAATACAGGGGTTTGTTTTTAATTTTTTTATTCCTGTAGTAAACTCTACTACTTTTCAAAAAGTTTTTAAAAAATGCTGGAGAGGCTTTTAGTCTTTTAGATGACACTATGTATTTCTAAACCAATATAAAAGATACCCTTAAGAGTTTGACAAAATTTTAGCTACAGAAATCCTGATCAAGTACAACTGTTACTCAGATAAGTAAAACCATCAGGTTTCATACTCACCAGACAAGGTAGCCAGCAGCAAGGGCAATGTTGGTCTCAGCAGCAGAGAGGTGACAGGAGAGAATAAGGCTGGGTACATAGGTTTGTTTGTAAGTTGCAGAATTGAATTAAATGTTCACATTGTTACCAGGTGCCACAACAGCCAGAGTCTTCAGCTTGTCATTCCAGTACTAAAAGGAAACCAATGACTCATCCTGGGACACAGCTGGGAACAACAGTAAATTGCAGTGACTACTCCTGTGTTTTGCAACAAATGTAACTGACGTTTCAATTCAGTTCAACCTTCTAAATATCAGTTCTCTCTCTTTTGCAGGCTCGCAAATACGAGAAAGTACTGTTTTGCAACTCAAAGGAGTAAAAACAATCTTAGCTTTTAAGCCCAGTGATAGCAGCAAAATTTGGAGAAAAATCATTTGAGCGAGGAGCAATGGGCGGGTTACGAGTTAAAAAGCTTTTCTAGTTGAATTCTTCTTTTCTGTGCTGAACTGAAGCACACATCAGGTGCGACACATTTGCAGATATAAACACAGGCCACAGTTTTGCAAAGAATGCACATATTTAAATTTTTACATTCACTAGGTCTACTTATGTTTCAAATTAAGTCCACTTTTAGCACTTTGCAGGATCAGGGCCAAGATCAGCCAGAAAAACAGAAAGCAGCAAAGGACTGAATTAATGTTTTCTAAGCCTGGTCAACTACTGTCTCTAAATCAGAGAAAAACTATTTCTATTATTTGCAAGACATTCCCATTGTGTACTTTCTTATGAAAATGACTGCGACATTCACGTATTGCGCATTTAAGGGTCTGGTGACCAGAGTGTTTACTGCTTACATAGCAGCCATATCTAAAAAGAGACTTAAAATGCTACAGACGTTTAACTACATTTAAAATATTTAATTTTTTAAAAAACTTAATTTAGTATGTGCTATTTAGAAACCATTTAGCCTGTACCACTTGTGTAAGGTCACAGAACAGAAACAATAAACATCAGCTGAAAAATAACAGCATGACCTACAAGAAAGGAATGTTATTTTAATAATTTTAAAGAAATTAAAAAAAAAAAAAAAAAGAGGGAACACCGTTTCCTCCCTCCCTCCAGATTTAGGACAGATATCTTCATGTTAGGCAGACAACCAATGTTCCAATCTTTACAGGTACCATCAACAAACAAAAAGGAAGGGGGGAAATAAATCCCTAATCAGCTTATTGGAAGTGTTCTGTATAACAGAGTACAATTCACTCACCCTGTCTTCACAGATTAATGCATTTTCGGCCTTAATAGCACTTTTCATCATATGACTAAATTTCACGCCAGGTGATTTTAGCATCAATAGTAAAAGGCAAGAGACGATACCAACACATTTACAGACGACCCTCTGGCACAGACTGAACTGAACTCCGGCTGCCGCCCTCGCTTACCCCCACCCGGCCCACACGGCAGCCCCGCCACCCTCCCGGGCTTCCGGGCTGGCACACCCGGGGCTCCCCGCTCCCCCCGCCTCCAAAACCGGGACCCCGCTGCAGCCGCTGCCCCCCAGCACCTACAGCAGGCGGACGCGGCCCTACGGCACGGGCTCGGGCGCATGCGCAGACCACCTCCCGCCCCGGTGGCGGGGGGCGGAGCGCTGGGGGGCGGGCCTCCGCTGAACGAGTGGTAGAGCGCTCAGCGGCCGGGGCAGCGGTGGTGGTTTCCTGTTAGAGGGATGTAGGCTTTGTCGGTTTCTCACAGTGTCTCCCGAGCTTTCGCCCGACTCGGTTGTTCTCCACCCCCCAGCCCCTTAGGTCATGTCCCTCAGCGCTGGTTCGCTCTCCATCACTTCCCTCTCGTTCCTTCCCGTTTTTCATGGGGGAGCTTCAGATACGATGAGGAAAACAAGGGGATATCCCACTATCCCACAAGCCTGTCTCAAGGTGATGCCTGTTATGGCAGAACAGGTTCTGTCCCGATCCCCCACTATGGATATAGTGAGCCTGAAAGCGCAGTGCTGCACAAGACCTGCCAATAATGTCTGTCAATAAGGGAATAACTCCTGCAACACTGAGGTTATGGAGAGTAGCAAAGAATGGTGTCGCCTGCACTGGGTTATTTACTATAATTGGTACCTTGCTTAGCGTTTTGGCCTATACATTGTGACAGTCAGAGCCATTTTACTTACAATAATCTCTAGGAAGCTAAGTGCGTTTTGCAGACCCAAGATTTACTCTGGTGCATATAAGCAAAGGGCTTGTCGCTACAACTCCCACCCTTCAAAACACAAAGGACCTAGATCTCACTGTTGGAAGCCAACACTCAAAAACCAGTCTGTGCTGTCAAAGCCAAGGGATGTCAAACTAATAGGGTGGTTTTATTTGCGTTTTGGGTTGGGTTTTTTTTTTCAGTTGGTCGTGATGTTTTTACTCAGATCTTCAAGATCTTACCAGCTTTCAGTTCTGTGAATTGCAAGGAATAGACAGCTGCTTTTAATAGGAGCTGAATTTTTTGCTTATGGTCCGTTTCCAGAAGCAGAAATTTGCACAAGACTGTCGAACACCTGAGTTAGCAACACCGAGATTTCAAAATACCAGAGCCCTCCAAGACAGCTTCTTAGGTTAAATGGCCTATTTTCAAATGCACAGAACACCTCATACTTTTAATTTTATCCAGCACTTTTCAAATGCCAAGGACAAAGCCCACTGCTGCAGAGTGGACGTGCTTTTGTTGAACCCAGTTCACACAGGGGTGTTTCAAAGCCTAGCAAAGACGTTTCTTGAGGTAATTCTCTACAGCAGCAGGTGGCAGGCTGGTGCCATTTTTGTCATTTTTCGCTTCTTCAACTCAAATACATCTTTTTATCGTTAGATGGCGCTTCTCTCTGGATGAGATCTGGTCGGTGCTGTCGGGAACTAACCGGTATCACAAGGTTCAGAAAACAGCCACTGAAATTCAATAAAATCTCTGTCATTTTTCATTATTCATTTTTGGCCTTGTCAAGATGTCTTACATACCTATCACGGTGGTCTAAAAAAGCCTGAAGCTGGCACGATTTATTTTAGCAGTAATTCATTGTACAGCAGTTACAGAAATATTTCAAGCAGTTGAGCTACGAGACACTTTGCTATGGATTTGCATTGTATTAATGTCAACAATTATGGCATAGCTCGAAGTTCCTAATCAAAATTAGGGTCTGAAAGATTTAGCTGCATAAAAATATAGCATAAAAACAAAGCTCCCCTGAAAGACAATGAAATTAATGTGCTCCCCCTAATAAAGTTTCTGAACCTCACATACCAAAAGCTTCTTAATCATGTTACTTGTACGCACAGATTTTCTTAATGGTGTCTGAAAAGAGTTTGTGACGTATAGATCGTTATAATGGGATCTCAAATGTCAGTTGTAAATGTGACCACCAGCGTTGTATTTGGCTCAGTGGGAGATGAATTAAAGAATTTAATTTGAGACTTTTCAAAACACAGATGAAATTGAAAGCACAGGCTTAGCATGAACTGCTAATGACTATGATGATTATTATGTGGGGACATATAAACAATGAAACAAAGATGGCTAACCAATTTTTTTAGAAATACAGCCCTACACAGAGTTGGACTTCCTTACTTTAACAGCCTTATTTCTTTATAACTGCCCTTTTACATCCACCTGCACTGAAAATGGCTAAATGACTCTAGATGCAGTAAATAATGTTGCAAAGCACACAGGTGACGCATTACTTAAGTATTTCATTTAAGAAAATTTACACTTTCATAAACCAAACAAGGACCCTATTTTCTTTTGCCTGGGACGTAAAGTGTCTTCATTCCTGTTGATGTAATCTCTTCATTGCTACTGTAAATGGAAGCAGAATTGCATCATGAGTAGCTGCAGGTGTCAGTCAGCCAAGTGGAGGACTGTGCCTACAGTAAAGCAGATGGACTCATACACCATCAATAATACCTTCCTAGGCACCTGTCCAAACCATGATAACCTAAACACTGAATTTTTTAAACTGCAATAGCATCAGAAAAGGTAGCACACATAAAATATAAAAGGGAAACAGGTTTGGAATTGGCTTGGGATTATCTCAGATAGCAGAGCCAAAGTAATTAGTATCCTGCTAGCATACTGCATCTCTCATTTTTATCTGTGGCTTTGAATATTACTGTGTTTGCATTTTGTAGTGATATGTTTATTTTGCACAAGTGAATTGCTCACTGACATAAAAAGACACATGAGAAGAAAGCCAAATAAACATTGCTAATGTTCTTTATTGCAAAATAGGAACTGCATTGTGCCCATGGTTCTTCATGAAAAGCAACGCTTTTGCTATTAAAGCTGGAATAATTTTATGGAAGTGACATGCTGCTGAATATTACATTTCTTGGTGTTCTGGGTTTTAGTCTCTCCTGTACAACTGATCTATCAGTGGAATTACAGATGATTATCGGAAGCACACCTTGTTATTTCAAATTTATCAAAAGAAGATGAAAATGCAAAGCAATGGAATGCCAATTTTACACAGCATGGAGGTCCATATTTGCATCACATTATAACATACGTTTTAACATACAGAAAATATGTGCGGTTTTCAGGTGAGTTTAATTTGCTCTGAATATGCATTTTCTTTTTTTTTAAAGACACTTCTCTGATCACAGTGTATCAAAACTAGTGTATACTTTCAGCCTGCTAATGCACCGTCCCTTGTTCCTATTGCAATAGGAAATGATTGATGTTCAGGCAAGGAGTTACAAGTTCGGTCATTTCAGCTTTTCTAAGATCTCATCTCCTGTTTCTTCAGAAGCATGAACAGTTCCAGATGGTGCGTAGGGCTGTGCTAATGGAAAGGACAATTTACTTATACATTCACATAACTTTTCATTATGAACACTGTCAGATCCGCAAAAGCTTGGCACCATTTCCTGGCCAAAACAGCATCACACTGCTGTTTACATTCTACCTGAGAGAAGAATGCGAATGTCGGAGCAAGTGTTCACAACTTAATCCCTTGTTGAAGTGAAATGGAAAAAAAAATAACACTCTAGGATAATAAAAATACCATAAAACTGTTTGGCAGCAAAAGGGAACTCAGCCTTGCATTTTAGCATGGCAGCACAACAGGCAGGTCTGTCTCCAAGCAGACCGAACACTGTCTCTATCATCATGAATACCCATCCCCAAATGACAGCAAGGAAAAGGCTCATGGAGATGCAAACATCATAAGGAGCAGC